TATGTGGTGTATAAGTGGTGTATATGGGTATATATGCTGGTGTATTGTGGTGTATAGTGGTATATAGTGGTTATATATGTGGTGTAAATGTGTTGTATATGTGGTGTAATGTGGGAGATTTGTGGTGTTTAATGTGTGTATATGTGGTGTATTGGGGTGTATATGTTGGTATATATGTGTGTATATTGTGGTGTATATGTGGTGTATATGTGGTATATATGTGGTGTTTATGTGGTGTATATGTGGTGTATATGTGGTGTATATGTGGTATATATGTGCGCTGTTATATGTGGTGTATATGTGGTGTATATGTGGTGTTATGGGGTATATATGTGGTTTATATGTGGTGTATAAGTGGTGTATATGTGGTGTATAAGTTGGTTTATTATGTGGTGTAAATGTTGTGTATATGTGGTGTATATGTTGTATTTATGTAGGTACATATTGTGGAGTGCGTATATAAGTGGTGCCTGTATATGTGGTATATATGTGGTGTATATGTGGTATATATGTGCGTGTATTTGTGGTGTAATATGTGGTATATATGTTTAATGGTGTATATGTGGGATTAATTATGTGGTATATATGTGGTGTATTATGTGGTGTAGAATGTGGTGTTTAGTGGTGTTTATGGGTGTATATGTGGTATATATGTGTATATGTGGTGTATATGTGGTGTATATTGTGGCTATATATGTGGTGTAATGTGGTGCATATGTGATGTATAGGTGGTGTATATGTGTGTATATGTGGTATATAAGTGGTGTTATGTGGTGTATATGTGGTGTATATGTGGTGTATATGTGGGGTATATGTAGGTATATATGTGTGTATATTGGTGTATATGTGGTGTATATGTGTATATTTGTTGTGTTTAGTGGTGTATATGTGGTGTATTGTGGGTGGTATATTGTGGTGTATATGTGGTAATATGTGGTTGTATATGTGGGTGATATATGTGGTGTATATGTGGTATATGATTTGGTGTTATGTGGTGTATATGTGGTTGTATATGTGGTTATATGTGGTTGTTTATGTGGTGTATATGTGTGTATATGTGGTGTTATGTATGGTATTATGTGGCTGTATATGTTGGTGTATATGTGGTGTATATGTTGTATTATGTGGAGTATTATGTGGTGTATATGTGGTTGTATATGTGGTGTATATGTGTTATTATGTGGTGTATATGTGGTGTATATGTTGTGTCTATGTGGTGTATATGTGGTGTATATGTGGTATATATGTGGTATATATGTGGTGTATATGTGGTGTATATGTGGTGTATATGTGGTATATATGTGGTGTATATGTGGTGTATATGTGGTGTATATGTGGTATATATGTGGTATATATACACCGATAAGTGTGTCTCTCTGTGTGTATCCAGCGATATGTACCTCTGTACTCACCTAATTGTGGTTGCAGGGGTCGATTCAAAGCTCCTGGCCCCGACTCTTCACTGGTGGCTACTAGATCACTCTTCTTGCTCCATGAGCTTTATCGTACCTCTTCTTAAAGCTATGTATGGATTCTGCCTCCACTTCATCCCTTCCCAGACTGTTCCACTTCCTGACAACTCTGTGTATATGCACTGACACGTGTGTACGTATATACAGTGAGATGTATTTCTCAGTGTATATACACCCAGCTGTATACATCTATCAAGAGTCATTATACACTGCTGGGAGTTTAAACGAGTATTTCTGAATAATAAAATATAGGAGATATAAAGACTGGGGTGACCCTCGTCCAG